GCTCCTAGAAAGGCTCTGTTTCCAGAAATCAATGCAAAGATTTGTTCAGCATAGTGTGCAGCATTTTTCACCCCTTCTCAGACAGCCTAATTTTACCTAGAAACTTGCTGCCTGCATTATATCTCCTCTGTATTTTTTCTGCAGATGATAAGGCATTGTCCAAAACTGACTTAATAACAGCAATAAGAGAGATGGATTGTCACTTCAGGTTACTCAGACAGTGGTTAAAGTTAATAAAGGTTCAGGCTGCTTCTTTCTGCTACAAATGCTGTGCAACAGATTAGCCTGCTGGGGAGCACAATTGGAGGCGCTGGTTCCCCAATCACTCCTCAGATGCCAGGATAGTGGCTAGAGCATTCATTTTCTCATGAAGACATCTGACATTTGCTTCTTTCCATACTTCTCCATCCCTGCTGGAAAGCTGCAAGCGTAACCTCAGCACAGTTAATTTTCTTCTCCCACACATCAGGACAAGCAATACCATTAGCGTGTGAATGATGTATGAGGTGCAGCGCCCCTGCAACCCTCCCTTTTTGTTCAGGGATTGACCATGAGCTGTTCCTGCTCTCCTTCCCTCCCACAGTCCATCATGGAACTAAAGCTTTGACCCTCATTTTTCTCTGAATGCACTTCTCCTATGTGCAACTGCTTCCCAACAGGGCCTGCAGAATTAGGCACAAGGCAGCAGCATATGAAAAATGATGTTTTTTTGTAGACTGTGCAGAGCTGGAGGTCAAGCACACTATTAATAATTCTCTGACTTTTTAAAAGCTGTATTTCCTCCATTTGTTGGCAACATGATTTGAAAGGCCTGTACAAGGCACTTAAAACAGCAGCTGAACAGAAGCATTCCAGTATTGCACAATATTGATTTTTGCTTCTAACTCACCTCTTTGCTAAGACTGGTTTCAATATCCTGTGAAGTTTAAGTGAAGACATTTCCCATCTCAATAGCTGTGCATTGTAATTTGATCCCACAGACAAGCCCGGAGTATTTTCCTTAACAACATAGCTTGGCTCAAAGAGCAAGACAAACACAAAATCTCCACCTTGGACCACTGCTGCCCACACTGAGGAAAGGCTGAGTAGGTAACAAATGGAGGTGGGCAGGAGTGAGGATTGTAGTCACCAGGCTGTTCACTGAGCTCAGCTGTACAAAAAGAACCCCTCACAATATAGGGCTGTTACAACAGAGTATTTCTACCTCCTGGGAAGTGGTCCCAAGGAACAAGAAACTTCATTAAATTCAAAGCACTGGTTAGTATGCTCCCACATAGCAGAATTTTAAAGGGAAAAGACATTCAGGAAAATTTAGCAAATTCTTAACCAAAATTAAGGGAAAAAAATACCATATATGACATGTGAAAACATGAAAGAAAAACAATTGTAAACATGGATTTGGCTAACCATAACAATTACTTAAAATTTTAAAAATTTCTCCATTGGGGAAATTAGAACATATAAATAATATTTTTCATTTATTTTGGGGGGGGGTAAGCAAGTGAGATCCTCATAGAAAAGAAAAAAAAGTCATGAGGAAGTGCTCTATATTTATACTAGAAAGGAGAAAAAATACAAAGAAAGAACAGGTTTTTATCTTGGTGGGGAGTGAGACAGAACACAATTGAAAATGTCATTGAGAAGGCTGAAGTGCTTCAACCTTTCTTTGCCTCATTAAAAAAATCTAAAAGCATTCAGACTATCCACAGACTTCAGAACTTAAGAACTTAGGCTGGTAGAGAGCAGAAGAAGAGGCTGTACAGATACATAATGCATCTGTAAATCATGTGAGCTTTATAAAATTCACACCAGAGTGCTCAGAGAATTGAGCAGCAATTTCACAGCCACGATTAATCATCTTTGAGGACTGATGGAGGGTGAAAATTCCAGAAGACTGGAAAATGACCTCTCAAGAGCTCTTCCAGCCATGGTTACCATTCCTGTAAGGAGGGAAAAACAAAATTAAGGGTGTGATCTATTTATTCCTTCTTTAGGCAGCCACAGTGGCAAACAACTACTTGGTATTGCCCTTATAGGAAGAGCATGAAGTTTTGAGAACAGGGTCAGTCTGGATCAAATCAAAGGTCCATCTGCCACAAAATAGGCTCAGATAGTCACCTGCAGCAGTTACAGCTTTATCTAAAACCAAGGGAAGGGCAAGCACACACCAGCACATTCTCTCAGCTCTTAGCAATCAGAAGCTTAGGGACTTACAGAGCTAGACTTGGCATCCTTCTGTTAATAGCCCTCCATGACCTTTAATAGCCCTCAAGAATTACTAATGAAGAGATCTCTAAAGTGCTGTCTTTATTACATGAAATCAGAATACACAGGAACTGAACAGTCACATACTTTCTACTGCTCGGCCTTTCAGTGAAGATATTTTGGTTCTCAGCCTGGATATATTGTTATCACATATACATTCATTTCATGAACAGCTAATCCTTGAGAAAAGCAATACCAAAATGTCAGGATAGCTACTTGATATTATTTACATTCAAGCACAGTTACTCTGGCTAGTTTGTCAGAAGCTGCTTCATGTTAGAGTTCAACCAAATTTATTTTAAGCTATAAAGGGACAAGACAATCCCATGTAGATGGATACACTGCAGTTAGAGAATAATGATTAAAGAACGTTATTTACATTTCTAGCTGATCAACATATTTTAGATTCTTCTAATGGGAAGAATTGATTTTTTTCCTCTGCAAAAGGGACTTAATCAATTTTGCTTCTGGAAATGTTTTATTCGACGATAGCTAAATTTCCCTGCATACACATCTGTCAAAACATAAACAATCATTAGAAAAGAGAAGCTTTTTATGCTGATATAAAGGTATCTGTTTTATTCTTTCAACAGAAGCCTATTGATTTTTTTATGCCTTAAAAAAACCAAATACAAATCCCTTAAATATGCAAAACCTTACCCAAATACCTCCAAATATTAGAAAATTTAGTTTGAGTTTTCAAGGTTTTTTTAAAGAATATTTTGTACTTTAAATTAAATGTAAATGTCATCCTCCAGGAAAAAAAAAATTGTGATTCTTTTCAGATTAATTTATTCTAGTGGTTCTGTACTAATTTAGCCTTTTCTGCAGTGCTGGACTGGGACTTAAGAAGCCTTGGTACTCCAGCTCTCCAGGTGGCTCTCTTTGGTATCTGTGTGCAGGAAACTTTTTGGGAACATTATGTTTCATGCTGCTCAGCATCTCATTTCTCCATGCAGATGGAAGAACTTTCAGTGGTCTGTGGGTTACACACTGGGTGCAGGTGAACAAAACCCACATTTGTTAGGTTGTAATGCTCTCATCCAAAACAATGGCCAAATGCCCACGGGGTGCAGGTCAGTTAATGGCAATAGCTCGGTATCTTTTACCATATGTAACATTGGGCCAATCTACACATAAATAAACAGAGAACTCCTTTCAAGTTTTTAATACAGCAAGTTTGCAGAAATATTTTAACAATGATTTTTAATTGAAAATCTAAATAAAGCGTGCATTATTCATCTCAGCTTCTACCATGGGCACCGCACTTACATTTAAACAGATATAAGCAAGCTCATTTCAAATAAGAGGTTCTTGTCTTGTTCAGTTTTATGCAGATTTATAATATTCAAAATTTAATTTAAACTGATAAGAAAATTAGAGAAGTCTCAGTCCTTGCAGCCTATATGACCCTTGACCTTGACTCATAAACACAGGGGGGAAAAAACCCAGTAAATACAGTACATGACACCAAATCCTTCAAAATTTAAAATGGTAAGAAGAAATCTGTAAAAAGAGTAAAAATTAATTTGTGTGTTTGCTTTCAGTTAGAGAGCCTCCCAGTTCTTTCAGCTGATGGATTGTCATATCTATAAATACATCTACTTTCTTAACCTCTTGCTAACCATCAGTTGCACGCCACAGTCTGCACTTGGCATCAGTGCAGTCACTGCAGCCAATTTGGCCACTTCTGGGACACCTTTATTACTCCTGTAGCAGTAACAGCCTGAAACCTGAATGGTGAATTGGGCCCTGTTGTGCCCTGTTCTGTGGTAACAGGTAACAGGACCAGACAGTCCCTGCTCCAGCCTGGCTCCACACCCACCACAGCGCTCCCACCCACGTGATGATTCACAGACAGTGGCAGGGAAAGGTCTGATTCTGTCACACCAGGATGAAAAGTGACCTGACGAGGCATAACCTGTGTGGCATACCTTTGAATTGTGTTTGGGAGGGAGTACAGGTTGTCAAAGGTGCTTAAGTTGCTTAACTGGCATATCCTGGAGATCTGAGAGAAACAAAAAAAAGCCAGGAGAAAACTGTGGCTCCCTGGAGGTCCTGCTGAGCTGCTGGCCCCGCACCAGTACCCTCTGATCGCTGCCCACTCTGACACAGCTCTTCTGGAGGAGGAGGTGAAGCTGACACTGAGGGGGCAATGCCCAACCCACAGACCTCCAGGAACCCAGCTCCTGCATCTCCCTGCATCGCCCATCACCTCCAGTGCTTTCTGGGAGCAGCATACCCACCCATCCTCACCATGGCTGCTGCTGGGCCCAGCACTCTCTGCCCTCCTGTCCTGGTCATGGCCAAGCTGGGCCAAGGTGAGCATGTGGCACTCAAGTGGTCACTCATGTCGTGATGGTGAGCAGGGGCTCAACACCCACCTCCAGACACAGCGCCTCCCCAGCCACCTGCTCATACAGCCATGGCTGCTCCCACCCACTTTTTCTCTTTTTTGTTCTGGTTAGGCAGAGTTGGGTGGGACACGAGTGCAGCAGGCTTTGAAACTGCATTGCTTGGCACCTCTTGGCATTGGGAAGGATGAGCAACAGGGACATGATGGGTGAGCTGGGGATGGGCTTGGTGCGCTGGCACAGCTCAATCTAGCACCGCCTCTCCCAGGTGGTCCTGCTGCCTACACGGGCTCCACGCCACTGGGGACTTGAGACAGCACCCATGGCACAGAGGGAAGAGCCCATCAGTGGAATCAGCAAAGAGGCTCACAATGACAACGCTCAGCTTCACAGACTTTTATTTTTGACTCTGTACAGAACACGGCTGCAATTGTAATAAGGCATCAAATGCACTACTGAACAGCTCATGATGGACTGTGATGTTTCACCACATTGTGAGTCAGAGTCTTACAAAATTAAACCAGTTGCTTTCTTAGTCAGTAAACTCTATACTCATTGCAGACAGATTTTTAAAAGAATTACATAGACTAAAAAATTGCAAACACATAAAAACCCAGCAACAACCTAGTGTAGCTTCCTAGGAGAGTCTGGGGCTCCTGCCACGGAGCCGGCTTCAGGCTGGCAGCAGCAGGCGAGGCTGGTGGGAGACACGCTGGGCACCCGCAGTGCGTGGGCTGGGACAGTGCAGTGCCAGCCTCTGTTCTGATCAGCATCCCCAGCAGCTGCCATGCAGCTCCCAATGTCCAGCCTCAGGCACAGTGTGTGACCGAGAAAAGGGAACTGAGAACAGGGCGAGCAGGAGCTGTTTGAGCAGCAGGGAGCCGGACACCGGCAGCTGCTGCCTCCCTTCCCGCAGTTCAGGGAAGCTTGGACACCCCCAGTGGGAAAGTAGAGACCAGGGCTGGGCCCAGCCAGCAGACGTGTCATGAGGTAGAAATCAGGAAAGTGTCATATCTGGCAGCTGGGGCTGGTCACAAATAAACTGACTAAGGGCACAAATCCTGTCATTTCCAGGGTACTCAGAAATACATATTCAGAATAGGGATGTTTAGAGGGCACCTAAAACCCACTCAATATATGCCAAAATTTAGTTCCCCAAAAAAGGAGAAAGCTCTCCAGTGAATGAAGTGACAACTTTAGCCCAGGCAGTGAAAACACCAACAATTTTTCTCCCATTTGTACCTTTAAAGCATTTAAATTTTGAGCAGGGGAAGTCAATTGCAAGGGTGCATGAGGGGGCAATAAATGTCCCTTGGCCTCACCCTTTGGTACCCTCTCATGTGAGCTGAATGCTGTGAAGGCTTGTCCAGTGGCCAGTGGGCTCATACATTCAATTCCACCATCAGCCACCAGACAGCAAGTGCTTTGGTTTCTGTCTGTGTTTGGTTTCACAGCACGAGAACCTGAGAGTCTGGAGGTTTTATACTGCACCACTAACTCACATCATGCTGCAATTTCTAAAGTGATGCTCTGATCACTTAGAATGTCCCAAGCATTTTTATCTGCTAAATTCCTGTGCTCTGAAGACCTTCCTTCACCTCTTTCATAGCATACACTTACACCAAAATAAAGAAACTGTTAGTCCTGTTGTTTAAATTTTATTACTCCTCACACTTCTGCAGTGTACATTTAGATTATTAGGTTGACTAATGTTTCCTTAAAATGCTCAGGAAAAATTTCAGGGTTCATTAAAGTATTGCAGGTTCATGATCTGTGACAGGCATTTTACAAAGTGTCAGAAAACTTCTCACTTGACAATAACATACTGACAGTCAGGGAAGCATTCCTTTTTCTAGTGCTAATAATCAGCATTAAGGCATGTCATGGCTCCTGCAAGAAATCTGTGATCCATACAGCTTAAGCTGACATCTTTCTCCAGTAATGGAATGTACTCCAATTTCATGCATATGTATAATTAAAAAACAAAAATAATAGCTCTCAAATCCACCAGCCTCAGTTTTAGAGCTTCTGTCACATAGGTGAGAACACGGGGCCCAGGCAGGCGAAAGGGTTTTCATCCCCCAAGATATTCGTCCCCTGCCCTACACCACCTTGCTGACCCCAGATCAGCAACATTTGCCCTCTTGCTTGGCATGGCTTTCCCTGGGAAGGCCAGCCCCTTCCCATCCTCAGGGCAGGATGAGCAGAAGGGCTGTTCCCACCTCCCCACCTTGAGAAAAGTGTCAAGCTCTGCAGGCTGTGCCCACATAACTCACCTGCCAGCCAAGGCCAGCAAAAGAGGAACCTTCCTGCTCTGCCTCCGGATTCTCAGGCTAGGTCCTTACTCACTTGTACTGATCACAACAGGCTGAGGGAGCTTCCAGATATAAGACATTTCATGTATTTATCCTAGAGATTCAATTAGGAATCTCTGATGACACAGCCAGAAGAATGTAAGCTCTTCAAAGATGACTGTGGAGATGCTGGCCACTGCTGAGCTACTGCCTGAGAACACGCTGTGTATCATGACATAAACTGGGAGAATAATTTACTGGGCAGCAGCTCCCTCTAATAAGGCAGCTCATTTAATTACACAGTAACATGGACCTAAAGCTGCAGTTGGAGCAGAGAACATGTGAACCCGGATCTCTGTTGCAGGGCCAGCATTAAACCCCGGGTACCACACTATGGAATTTACTGACCAAAGGTGTGACTCTGGAGCAGGGCAGTTCCTCGGGCCCTTGTCACAGGCATCCGTGCCAGCATGCACGAGGGACTGAACTAATTTAGTCAGACTTGGGTTCTGCAATTGTCTCTTGACAAAACCAGCCAGAGAAGCAGAATAAAGAACAAAGTGGCAAAATAGTGTTTGGTCTCTCTGTGAGGAACCTAGGTTTCTGCCATCCACTTGTTATTCTGGACTTTGTGCTGCCACATATTGTGTGCTGGGTAAAGGAAGCATAAAGGAAATCTCCTCCCACCTTCCCATGAGAACTCATCTGTTGTGTGTCACAGTGGGGAAAAAAGTATTTTAAAAATAATGCATATTCCTGATATTTTAGAGTTAACTCACAACTGAGAAGACTGTCATAGTGAAGCACATGCTTCTTCTAAGACTGCAGTCAGAGACTGCACAGACAGAGATCTGCACCTATGTTTGGCTTTTCATACATATAACAGACATATACTTATTATCAAGAAATATATATGTATTAACCATTGCTCAGTAAGAACTGACAGCGGTGCACGGAACAATTTTTGCTGATACTCCCAGCACTGCAAAGAACACATCAGTGTTCCCTAGAAACTGGCTGGTAATAAAGCAAATAGCATCAATAGTACAGGTTTTTGGCTACAGCGCCACAGAACTGAGATTAATAGCAACATGTACCCTTGACCATCCCCTATGTTAAGTGAGTCTCTTGTCAGCCAGTAAACTGCCTGATACTTAACCTCTGTATTTCCTGATGATTTATTCTTTACAAATAAATTGGGTTTTATTGAACGAGTCTCAGAGAGCTCCTTCCTGACCTTTCCTTGCTGGTTATGAGAAGGTTGACAGCCTAGTGACAAAAAACTGAAGTTTCAAAAAGGACTAATAAGATGCAGACAGCCCCAGTATATGCAAAGCCCTGCAGCTGAGCTTAAATTTCTTCTGGCAAATGTACTGAAGAAGTGTCTAGTCTCAGCATCCCCATGCATTTTCAGTCTTTGGGTCTTTTGAGACTCCTCACAAGAGGTCCGTTAATTCATGTTATGGCAGTTTTCATACAAAGACATCTGTCCACCAGGAACTAAACTTCTTTTATATGGGTCACTATAACTATCAGAAGTTAATGACTATCAATCATTGCTAATCTGAACTGAAATGGAGTCACTGACCTCACGCTGAAAGAGCCTTTTGTCTCCTACCAGCACCACGAGCCATATGGTTTCCTGCCCTTTGTCTCTTATTTTATATTTTAAATAATCATCACTAATTGTACAATTGTTTGAAAATACGGGAGGTTTGTGGCCAGCCATGACCAAGTGGTGTTCTTTCTTCCCATAGCTGTCACTTAACTGAAGAGAAGGGATCTGCTTAAAATTAAAGAATAAAAAAGCATCTCTTAATGAAATATTAGCCCTGCTATTTGATTATTGGTCCTGCTTAATATTCTGCCAAGTAGACTGTTAATAATCCTGCAGGCTTCAAAAATTAACAGTTTCCGAAGTGTCAAGGTTGTTCTTGTTCTATATGGGAGTAATAAGAAAATTATATAGGCAAGACACCAATGGAATGTTTTATATTAGGATAAACAAGTATCTGAGGAACCTACTTATCACAAGTCTCTTTTTATTCAGTGGTTTTCATTATTTTATATCATTTGCATTTCATCTGGCACAGTTCCCCTTTACAACAAGTACTCATATATTGCAAACATTTGATTATAGAGCTTAAGATAACACCATTCTTGTCAGACAAATAAACTGCATCACCAGCTATCTTTAGCTGCATCTGCTTTCTTTAATGAAACACATTTTCCTGTAGAAATGCTGCCTTAAAAATCATGACCACACTAATTATCTATGGCAAGCACATCTTCCTCAACTAATGACAGCTCGAGCATATTATCGTTTGCTCCAGACTTCATTCTGAAATTGAAAGACCCATACAGCTTGGCAGACTCCTTGGAGGATGCAAACCTGCTCCTCCGGTACAGCTCCCCTTTCCACATGGACATCATCAGCAGGCTGGACAGCACCACGCCCCCCAGGGTCAAGAGGCACAGCCCAGCGATAACACAGCGGTCCAAGTGAGCACCGATCCTTGCGCTCTCGTTCTCCAGCCTCTCCATCTCCCGGGCAGCCACGGTGTTGGGATCCACAGTCACATCTCTGGGTACCACATAGGAAATTACCACCAGCAAAATGCCACTAACCAGGAACAAAATGGCACTAATGAATCCATAGTCAACAGATTTCCCAGCTGCTGCCTCCGAGGCAGCATCGTCCTCCTCGGAGACCAAGGAAGGAGAATCGTGCACCCATTCGGGTGGCAGCTCCCTGCAGGAATGCTGCTGCAGGGGGGCACCGTGGCCACCTGTAGGAGTGGGGGGACTTCTTGCATGCTCCAGATTTACATTTTCATCCACATAGGTGAACGATGTCTCGAGTTCCTGGGCACAGCAGCAGGCTTTTTTCTTCCCTCCATCCTCTTCCCTGGGCAAGCGCTCGGCTGGGTGGCAGAGCTGGGAGGTGCTGGAGGGCGCAGGGTGCTCCTGGGGTGAGGTGCCCAGGGAGGAGGGCTGGGGTGCCAGGGGGGGCTCAGCCACAGGGCCCCTCTGCAAGGGCTTGCAGTGCCGTTCACAGTGCAGGGCTGCCACGGCAGCGGCTGCTCTGGGGTCCACCTCACCCCCCTCACACTGCTGCTGCTGCTCGTAGGGATGGGGGGGCAGGCTCCAGCCAGTAGCGGTGCCCAGGGGCACCTGTCTGCTCTCCTCGGCCAGGTAGAGAAGCTCCATGCAAGCCATCGACCTCGTCCCCACGAGCCTCACCTCCTGGGCTACGGCATCCTCCAGCAAATGCTGCCCCTGACCTGCAGAAGCGGCTTCACAGTACTGGCGCTGCTGTATCCCAGAAATCTTCTTCACCACTTTCTCACCGTTTTGTTAGGGACATGGCTTGTGTCAGCTGTTAAATGATTAAACAAATCGTCTCTGACATTCATTTCTTTTCGGTCTGCAAATGAAATAGCAGAGGGGGAAAAAACAACAACAACAAAACCGAACCCGACAACCTCACAATGATACATTAATAAACCAAAGGGAAGATAACGCAAATGTAATACATCAGCCCTCCTCTCAACTGTTTGAGGGGAGACGGCAAACACGATTGTTTTAACCACGCATTTAAAACTGCAATCCTCTTGAAGATCCAAAATCTATTAGGGAATCTAATCAACCTTTGACACCACTATCCAATTAAGGCAGTAAGTAAGCACAGAGCACGGAATAACCAGAAAAACTGTGTAAAATGCCAGAGAAAATATATGTTTGTTCTTTTAGAAGCATATAACTCCCATCCCCCCCTTCCAAATACAGAATTTTACACTCAGATTCACAGACTAATTAGAAAGAAACACGCAAATACCATGTAGCTCAATAATCCAGGATCTGTATTCTCCAGTGGAAATCTGATAATCCTACGGGAGAAGCAGTGCTCTCCTATATAAGATCTACCATTCATCTAAGAGCTTTTGGAATGAAATTATGCCTCAAAGACTGATGACTCAAAGACGGATATTACTTCTCATCTGCAATTAATTCGCTATTACCCCTTTCGCCTGGGCCCCATCCCCCTCGAGGCCGCCCGGTGTCACCGGGCGAAGCTGCAGCCCGACAAATGTGTTGCATGCGAAGGGAACACATGTGCGTCTACAGCACATACGTGATCGCTCCCAGCCGCTGCTCACTCACGCTCTTCTCGGGACCTCAGCGAGAACCGGCGGCGCTGGGAAAAGCGATTCCCGCCGGCGCCGGGAGCAGCTGGACCCGCCCGGCACCGAGTGACCCGAGCGGTACCGAGGTGAGCGGCGCAGACACGCACAGGCACACACGCATCCCCGGCAGCAGGACCGCGCCGCCTCCTCCCGCCGCTGCTCCTCCCACCGCTCCTCCTCCTGCCCGCGGGCTCTCACCTGCCCGGCGCGGCGCCGGCCCCGCACGCACGGACGCACAGACACACGGACACACGGACACGCTCACCTTCCTCCCGGCCGCCTCCGCCCCAGCCCGCGCCCCCGCCCGCGCTGCTCCCAGCGACCCCAGGCGACCCAGCCCGGCCCGGCCCGGCCCAGCCGGGCAGTGCCGGGGCGGGCTCCGCTCGGCACGCCGGGAGCTGTAGTCCGCGGGCGGCGGCGCCGCTGCGGCAGCGCCCGGAGCCGCGCCCGGAGCCGCGCCCGGAGCCGCGCCCGGAGCCGCGCCCGGAGCCGCGCCCGGAGCCGCGCCCGGAGCCGCGCCCGGAGCCGCGCCCGCCCCGCGGCCCCCGGGGCTCGGCGCTGCCTGCGGGTCGCGCTGCCGGGGCTGCCGGCACCGCACTGTCCCTCCGAGGGCCCGATCCTGGCACGGGGCCGGAGGGGCGTCCGTGCAGCCCTATGCCTGCGTCTAGCTCAGTCATCACCCGGAGCTGTTTTCCATAGTCTTGGGAGCTCAGCACTTACTCCAGGGAAAGATAAAATCAGATTCTCAAATGATCCCAGAACTGCTGGATCTGAGACGTCAAGAGACATACTCTCTGCGCAAGACTTACTGGAAAATCTCAGGAGCTCACCCGTGTTGGCAGATTGTCCATGCGCTTCCTCTAGCCGGCATAAATTACTATTAAAAAAAAGACTGTTGCCAAAAAATACATAATAAATGAATGACTATTTCATTTTCAGTATGAACCTTCACTGAGTTTTCCTGCCAGTGCTTTTCCTTTGCCAGTGTTAGTGATAAACTAGAATATGAAAATAAAGTATGGAGTAGTCTGAAGGTTTATCAGAGCTGAATATTGTGCTGTTGTGGAAAGACTGGGCTCTGAGGAGACAAAAAGCAAGCATGGGCAGAGGGACCTTTGCCATGGAGCTGAAATGAGGGTGCACACAGGAATTAGAAATGAGCAGCGCCTGCCTGCATGGCTGTTGGGCAGGAAAGCAGAGGCTCAAGATGAAAAGTGAGTTGGGGAAACCAGAAAAGACAAACACAGACTGACTGAAGGAGTTGGCCTAACATCAGAGAACAAGGTGATTCTCTGTAAGGACTCTTTGCCAGTTCTGAAGCAATGCATTAGGCAATCAAATCAGTTTTGAAGACATATCCTGCCGAGACCCAAAACACCCAGGACAGAAGGTTCAAATCTTAGTGGGAGTAACTCCCATGAATGTTAAAATTACTTGCCAGGACATGGCAATAGTAGGGCACTCACAGTGCCCATCACACAGATTGCTCAGTGCTCTGGGGTGCTTTGGATATCATTTCAAAGCAGCTCCAGGCAGTGTTTCCATTAGCAAAGTGCAGTTTCAATGCACTGAATAGTGTATTATTCACCCTTTGAAGAAAAATTGTAAGGAGAAAATTATGGAGTTAGGAAAATGGTGCAGGCTGTCCTTGGAGCTTTTTAATAACAGTGCCCTCTTTGAGATAAATATAAAGGAGCAAATAAAACCTAATCAAAGAAACAGAAAAGCTTATCTGTAAATTGTTCAAATAGTTTCAAGTAAAAGTAAAGACAGAAACAAACTCTCTTTATTGTTTGTACATTTCCATTTGGGAATTAGCAGTATAGGAACATTCAGATATTAGGCACTGACACTGCAAGCTGTACATGCTCCATCTGATAAACGAATCTTAATTAAATGACTGACAGGAAAAATGTGGTTCTCAAGCCTGGCAATGCAGCCTGGAAGAATGTGAACACTTTTCCTGGGCCCCGGCACAGCCTACCAAGTCCTTGGGTGGGTATTGTCTTTCTGACAGCTTATACAAAGGCAGGAAATTGTCTGCACACAACAAATGGTCATGTTGTGATTCCTTCAAAACCCAAGAGCTACAGCATGTACTCTTGAGCACTTACTAGAGCCTTAGTACTTGTTATTTAACCACACAAACATCTTGCTGCTCTGCCACCCACTCTCCTCCCCATTTTGTGCCAGCATGTGTTGGGCAAGTGTATTAATTTGTTGCTGATAATTGCAGACCCACAAACTATGGAGCAAACAGAGGGAACCACAACTCTTGTCAAACCAAATGTTATCTATTCTTATGTGCCTTCCCATGTGGTGCAGTGTCTCCTTTGCCTAGTACAGTTCACTCACTCTTAGAGCGAAATCACTGTCTAGTCACAATTCCTATTACTGGCATTTAATTTTCTTAACTTTGGATGCGATGAGTTAACAGCATTTTCTTGTAACAAATGTGATTGTTGCCAATGCTCAGAGGTGTGGAGGTGGTGAAATGAATGCATAGCAACGCGTACTCTGCAAACACAAGTACAGCTGGTGAAAAGATTAATCAAATAAGGATGGGAGTAAGAATATTTGTCACAGGAAAAAAAGTGGCTCTGTAGAGCTAAAACCCAGAGTGATGGACACACAATGGGACAGGAATAAAAGACTGGAGTAGACTGTCGGGGTGGATGAGCCTTGTTCTCTCTGCTGCAGCCAAGCACGTAATACAGCCCTTTCAGACACTGAGCAGGGCTATGGTAGCAACACAGTGATAATATGGAATCTGACAGTCAGCTGATAAAGGTGTCTCAGTTGAGATACATGCAATTAAATTTAAACCATGCTCTGGAGCATCTTGTAAGCTCTCTTAAAGTTGGCCCAACTATAAATGACTATGTGAACTAGATTTATATGTTTTTGTCCCATTCTCAGTAACCTGTTGTCACTGTAAAAATGGAAGGAGGCTTGTGAAGAACTAAAAGTTGTTTCACACTTTCTGTCTGAAGTCTCACTGAGGGCCTGATCACACCTGAAGGCTTCAGAGGAATCAGGCAAAACTGAAACAAGTTTTCTGAATAGTGAATCCCATCATGGTCTGGTAGAGGATAGGTTTTGAGATCTTGCCATCACAATTCACAGAGTTTTCCAGTGTTATATGGGATCCTCAGTGAAGCATTTCCCAAAACATTTTTATTCTTTTTTTCCCTGTCTGTCTTATAACATGTATACAGAGTTCTTCAATGATCTCGTTTTCACAGAATCTTCAATTTGTTGCCTCGCAAGTCACAGGACCTTGGGTTTCCAGTGGTCCTTGGGCAAGTGTTGCAAGACTGCAAAACTTCTAAAATAAAGGGGCACTCCAGCCAGTGTGGCTCAGAGAATAATAGATTCAGAGAAGTCTAGAAAGAATATTGCATAAACTTCCCATTTCCACTTGAATAGATCATATTGTTGAGTAAAGTAAATTGGCTAGGAAGCCAATAAAATGGGGCTAAAGAAATATTTAAAACCTATTAGGGAAATACATGGACCTGTGTACTGGTCTGTGAAAAATAGCAAAGGTAATAGATGCGAATGAAGAGGCAAAGCTAAGTTTATATATAAATGGCAGAAGAAAAAAGTGACACAATTCTTTTTTGACTTAGAGAATAAAAGTATTGTGAGGCTAGCAAGCAAATATTTGGACAACTCACAATGCAAATCAAAATTCACTATTTCTGTGTGTTTAAAACACATTACTGTCACAGATCAATAAATGTCACAGATTAATAAAGCAAAAGTAGGCATGAAAGCAATTTAATTCTGCTTTGGTTGATTCACTAATGCACATCCATTGTGCATTAATAAAAGACACAATAAGTAAACAATTTTACAGAGATACAAGAAACCATAGATGTGTAATATGGTGTTCCAGAATTGCTACAAGTAGATTACATCCTTGATGTAATCCCTGTGCTTCTCATGTCTGAACACGTGAAATCATGGTTTGAGTATATAGAGGTTCATCCTGAACCAAAAAAAGTCAGTTTCAGTCTTAGAGTAAAGGATCATATGGAGGAGCAAAGGGCCTGTTGACCACTTGGAAGACACGGTAGCTGTAGCCCCACTCAGGAGCTAGTGAAGGACAGGTAGGAATTAATGAGCCATCAGGCTGAGGTCTCCTCCCTGGCACAGCACTTGTGGAGCCTTTATTGGCCTGCACTCACCAGGAGGGAAAGGGCCAGGTCTGGATGTCCCTGGGCTGCTGTTTCCCACCCGCTGTGCCCACACCAGTGACTCAAGCTGGTGACCTGGCCAACCCCACTACCACAGGTTTTACTGACCAGCCTTCCTCCCCGTTCAGGAGCTCATACTATGCATTTTCCCTTCTGAATCCCCGAGCACCTGAGCACCCCTGAGTCAACAGGCCTATCCCTGACTGTGCTTGATTGTTCTAGTGTCCTGCTGGCTCTCACAGCCCTGTCTCAGCAGTCTGGGCTCAGGCTGCACAGTGGGACATGGCCGAGCTGGCCCTGCTGTGCCCAGGGCAGACTGGCTGCTGAGTGCCAGGCACCTGGACACCACTGTGGGTGCCTAAGCTTTGGCCACTGGGGTGGAGGAGACTCCTTCTGCCTCCCTGTGTGCACCTGCAATGCTGAGCGCTGAGCTGTGTGATCTGAAGAAGCCTTACAGAGCCCAAACAGCTCCTTCCTGCTGTGGGTTTGGGATTGCCACATGTCACCACAGGTTTTTTGCCCACTGATGGGCACAAACCAGCACAGTACCAGCACTGTGCTGTCACCATGTTGTGAGAGCCAAAGTTACCATTTATTTCCCACCCTGATCATGCCTGAGACATAAAGGACATGTTTCTCCCTGGGTCAGCCCACAGGATGAAGACTACAGCCCTGAAACCTCTGTGGCTGCTGAGTGCTAGGTGTCGTGCACATGACTGACTCCTGACAATGACTTTTTCAGGTGTTTTCCTGGGTTGTTACTCTCTTCACTTTCTTGCACACTTGCATGGAAAGACAGGACCACCTCCAGTAATCACACATCAGATCTGGGACATGTAGTACACCTGTTATTCTGTACAAAAAAAAAACCCCTAGAAATACTAATTATAGAATGAAGGTATTTAAAGGGAA